GGGTAGCTCGGCAGTGGAGGCGGCAGAGAAAAGGCTGTCACTGTCCTTTCTTCCTTTTGGTACAAGCATCTCCCCGAACCGACGATTCTCCTGCAGTGACATCTCTCACGGGCGCTAATGAGATCCGTGTCACAGAGCTAATGCGCTCTGACTGGACTCTGATAGACACCCTACTCCTTCAGGGGAGCCTACAGGCCGGCACTGCCCCCCGGGGCCGGGCCCCACCCAGCCACCTGCCAGCCCAGCTCTCTTGCCAAACTGTGCTGGGCAGCAAGTTCCTGAGAGGGCTCACCTGGTGACTTGCCATCCCATCTCACCTGGAGCCTGTAGAATCCCCGGTCCCTGAGCAGAGGAGCTAAGCAGCCAGGGCAGGACCACCCATCTGGGCACCAGGGAAGGTTTCGATTGTTCGCCCCACCTGTGAGACCGGCAGTCTGCGGGGCCTCCGTGTCCCAACAACAGGGGAGATTTTACTGAGGTTCCCTGTGTGGATTTCCAACAAGAAAGGAGGGAAGGAGGCCCAAGCCCTGCCTTTAGGGAGGTCAAGTACGTAGGGCCTGATCATTACCTCTAGCTGGGGCCTAGGGATGTATTCTGTGCGCTCACACTGGGAGGGCTAGGCAAGACCCCCAGAGGGGTGGTCCCTAGAAGACGGGCAGGATCTCCTGGATGGAAAGCAAACGGAAATCACTGTGTAGGGTTAGGAGGAGGCTGGAAGCCAAGGGGCGGGGCCCTTGCTCCCAGGGTGACTGTGCCCGGGTGGCCACGCCCCCTCCCCTTTCTGCCTCACGAGTTGCTACCGAAGCTTTGCCAAGACCTGTGGGTTTTACGTGACACTGAGAGAAATGCCAAACGTAAGCTTGTTTTCTTCCTCACTGTCTCTGCTGGTAGCACAGAGCCCAACACCAAAAACGTGCTCCCAGTTCAGCATGGTGGTAAGAACGCAGACTTTGTGCTCAGATGAACCTGACAATGAATCCTGGCTCCTTGGTCCGATGGCCTGTGTGACTGCAAGTGAGTCACTCAGCTGAGCCTCAGCCTCCCAATCTGTAAAATGGGGGTGACAATGGCTGCCTTCATCAGACTGTATGAAACCTAGATGAGTTAATACAAAGCGCCCCCAAATAATGTGAATGTGCTATGCTGACCACTTGATGAAATTCTTTGAAAGAAGGCCCACTCAGCAGCCCCCTGTGGAGGCCGCCCAAGTCAAGAACGCTGACGGAGACCGCTGACACAGCCAGTCAGCAGTTCTGCAAACGTGTGGTCCCCCTCACCTGCAACCTGCTCCATGCCACCCAGCTTCCCGGGGTCGCAAGGCTGAATCCACTCCCCCAGGAAGAAGTGTCTCTCCCCGACCATGAGGCCACACTGACAGCCGCAGCGCCCCCTCTCAGGTAGGTGTTCCATCCCTGATGCTCCCCCTACTTCAGTCCCCAGGGCCAAGCCCTCTCCCCATCCTGGTGACAGAGCTCAATGCAGGTTTAGCAACTACCACAGCTCCTGACACACAGGTGCAAGGTAGCTGTTCACCACCTCCTTCCCCATGCCCATGGCCAGCTGGCTGGCCCTGAATTAACCACCACCTCCCGCATACCTTACTGCATGCGTCCCTCACCCACCCTCCCCACTGCCCCCTCCATTGCCCTGTGGCCTCCCCTTCTGTGATTTCTCATTGCTAGTCTTCTAGTCCTTTCTACACAGACTCTCAGATGGCACTGACTGGAAACAGCTCTGGCCAGGTCATTCTACTCAAACACCCTACGGCTCCCCCTCAAACAGCCCAGCCATGCACATCTATCCCAGCGGGCCCCTCCCTTCCACAGCCAAGGTCCCTGTCCTGCCTAGCCGGCCAAACCTCCAGCACACCTGCCCCCTTACTCTGCCAGCACCTCCACCACCCCAGTGCCCAGCAGGAGTCCCCGCCAGGTAAGCCCCACAACCCTCCCCTGCCACCCATACCTTAGAAGGAGACTTAGGAGATTCCTCCAGGGGCCAGGGTCATCGGAGCTCAGAATACCCTGCCACTCCCCCCACGCCCCCAACCCAAGGCATTGCGGGAGAAGCCAGCAGCCCCTGGAGAGGGCTAAGCTATGGGACCTGCAGAGCCCTTACCCAGCGTCACCAAGGCTGCCTCACCCCCCAGGAAGATACATACCACTCCCCACTTGGGGCTGGCAGCTCCTCACACAGTTAATTAGCACCATGTCACTGAGGACCAGCCTGAGTGGCCAGTGACAGGAGCTGACCCCTGACCCCAGGGCTGGGAAACAGTCCACATCAAACTCTTACAGCGCGACCCTTTTAGCACACACAGTAACTCAGGGCACCGCCAGCTGAAGCTCATTAAAGCTGTCTCTTTGGCGCGAGGGCCATTAACCTCACCGCTCAAAATCTGCACCTCCCCTCCCCGCCTCTCCCAGCCCAATTAATGCCCTGCATCCTCCCTCCCTTCCAAGCCCCCTCACCCATACCTCAGAGCCAGCCAGGAGCTGGCAGGGCAGCCCCCTTCATTCACGAACACAAGCATCGAGTGCCAGGAGCCCCCCGTGCCCTGGGCAGAGCAACAGAGGAGGCAGCTCCTGGAGCACCCACTGTGCACCCAGGCTGCGCCAGCCGTCCCAACAGCCCAGGGAGGCAGGTGGCACTGTCTCTGGTCTAAGGTCACAGGGCTTGGACTGCTGCTAGCTCCAAAGTCCTGACTTTGCTATCATCAGCCAGAGCCTTGGGTGGTCCCCTGGGGCCCACCCAGAGGGAAACACCTTCTTCTCTGAAGAAGGAGGGAATACTTCAAGGGTCCGCACCTAGAGTCAACATGGGTGGACAGACAAGAATGACATCACTGAGTCCCAGGAGGAGCGGGAACAAGGCACCCCTTCCCCTCACAAACACCCCCAGGACAGATACGCAGAAGCTGGGCACCTTGTTCAAGGCTGTGTGGGGTGAACTACCCCAGTCCTGCCAGCTTCTCAGTTTCTGGCAGCTCCTCTTTCCCTGGGCCAACACGTCTTCCCAGGGGCCCAGGTTCTCTGATCCCTCCCTTTCCCAACAGCCGTGCCCTGATGCATCACTCACTCGCTATTCGTTCATCCACCAGAGCATTTGTTGAGCACCTACTTAGAACTAGTGTGTGCAGCACCCAACTGCCTCATTGATTCTGGATCAGAGCTCTGATCCTGTCTTTATCTCACTCACGGACTTCCTGTCTCCTTAAAACCTCACAAAAAGCCACACCCTCTGACCTGGCATTCAAGGCTGGCTTATTTCCCCATTTATCTTCTAGCCATTTCATTCCCTAATCCAAATGTCCCACTCCAGTCACAGGAAACTACTTGCAGAAGTCCCAAATTGTCCTCTCATCACAACAGTCTTCCTCCTGCCCTTGCGCTTTGGTATACAGACAACCTCCCGAAAGTAGAAAACCCTTCCCCCAACTGTGTGCCTAGCAAACTCCTATTCATTCGTCAGGGATCCCCTGACTCAAGTCTCATCTTCTCTAGGAAACTTCCTGCTGACTTCGAAGGCCTATCAGCATGATAGGTTTGGGGTCTCCTCTAGGCTGTATAAAACAGCTCCCATGGGAGGGAACAGCAGTTGTGGGGGACTCCCAATTCCCCAGGCCTGATTGCCACTCCCTCTTTCCCCCGGGACACCAAGAGAACCTTGAAGGCCAATAAAAATGATACCGGGCATCCCTCAAGTAGTGAAATGTAAATGAAGAAGCAGCAGCCCTTGAAACTGTCCTTGGGGCAGCCCAGGTGTTTCTATCATGACCCTGAGCACCCCGGGTGGAAACTGCCCAGTTCAATCTCTGTCTCCTCCCAGGATGTGAGCTCCCTGAGGACTGGACCATCCACTCAGCGCTCCCAGCCCCACCAGGCACCTGCAGTGTCTGCGGAAAGGATGAGAGGCCAGTCTGGAGCAGGTGACTGGACACCTTTCAGTGTATCTTGCAGGTCCCCTTCCCCGTCATACCTCCGCAAATGTACACAGGCTATGCTAATGTCGTAACATCACCCAGGAACACCCCTGCTCCTCCCCGCTTGGAACAAAGTCTATGCCTGTCAAGTACCCTGCTTGAAAATATTTGCATGTACATGTGTACAGACACACACACCAAATAAGATGCATAAAAATGAACAAACACATTTTCTGATGGATATACACACAGGCTGATGGTTGCTTCCACAGAGACAGGTGCCCTCAGGAAGATAATACACAGAACACTGTTACCCATACACACATACACGCATCCCTCAAAAAGACACATTACAGGGACACACACAAACTCCCAGACAAACAGAGACATGCAGCTTAAGGTGCCATTCATGCACTCATACACTCACACATCCACAATGATATATAAGAAGCCAGCAGAGCCTCCAATGCCTAGAACCAGCCCCCTCCCACGGAGGAATCCCCCTGAGGATACACCCCCATCTGGTACCCCAAGTGGCCCCTCCCAGCCCAGGCACCACTCAATGGAGGCTGCTGCTCCTACGGGGGAGTTCAATACCCTGTGGACGGAGCCATCGGTCAGAAGGACCCCGACTAATTAAAAGCTGGTGAGGTTTAAATAATTCATCTCCTTAACTCCCATTGATCGCCCAGTTTAGTGGCCACAGACTTGAAACAATATTAAACAGCCTTCTCCAGCTCCACGGGGGGTGGGTAAGCTGACATGTGCCCACCCCTCTGAGGACATCACCCACCAGAGATGCAACCAAGGGTGGGGATCCCTTGGTCTGAATCCAAGGCCACCTGTGATCCACCCAAAGCCCAGACCCCAGCCTCCTCCTGAAATTTGTTTTGAGAGATCCTTTCCAGCGGTCAGGTTCCACTCTCCCCTCACTCCACCCCTCCTTCCCCGCTCCCCCCAGGTACAGAGAGCACCCTGCTGGAGCACTGAATGAGCCCCAGAACCCCTCTGTGTGCCAGGGACTGGGGTGTGTGGGCAGGGGACTGACCAAGCTGCCAGGGGGATATGTGGAGGGACTGACCAATGCCGCTGTGGGGCCGGCCTATGTGTTGCAGGCTGAGGCCCTTGTTCATGTCTAGAAGTCCATTCTTGGGCCAGCAGCCCATGGCGAAGCTGTAAGCCTGGAAGACAGGAGGCAAGAGTGGTTACCAGAGGCCCTGACCCAACCCCATCACTCACCAACACCCCCCAGCCCCCCATGTCTTCCCAGCAAGGGCTTACTCTCATCACGCCACTTCATGAGAGTCCTCCCTGCTTGCTGGGTCCCCTTTCCACCAGGGTCCCTCCAGAAAACCCTTTCCTCCTTCAGAGCCCCCTCTCTCCTGGGTGTCTCCCCATCAGAGCTCCCAGCCCTCATGGGGTGCCCCTCACCAAGCTCCTCTCCAGAGCTCCCATCTACTAAGATCCTCCTTCTTAGGACCCTTCCTCCCACCGGGCATCCCCTTCATCATGCAACCCCCCAATCCAGAGGCTCTGGCCCTCTGTTGGGTCCCCTCCCCACGTATTACTGTTCACAAAGACTTGTGGTGGGAGGGACTTGGAGATCAATATATCCAGACTTCACTCCAAAGACAGGAAAACTGAAGCCAGAGACAAGGGGGCCAGCCAAATGCCTGTGGTCAAGGTGCTTTTGACCGGGAGGTAGGCCAGACTGTGGAGCTAAGTGCCAGGTGGGCCTCAACTGAAGAGGGGTAAGGTCACCTGGTCAACTCAAGCAGCTGTGAGGGGAACACATGAAGAGTGTGTGTTTTTTTTTTTTTTTTTTGTGTGTGTGTGTGTGTGTGTGTGTGTGTGTGTGTGTGTGTAGTGGGAAGCAGATCTCGTTGAAGGTCAAGTGCTCACTTATGCATATTCAAAGCGGCCACCCATCGATCTGTACTTAATTGTTTTCCTGGGGTTGGGGAAGGAAGTGCTGGGGGCATCGATCTGCTCAGCCCCCAGCACTCCATTGCCCCCCTCTGTCCCCAGGCCACCACCCACCTCCTCCACGGTGGGGGGAGCACACATCAAGCAGGGACAGCACCTCCTCTCACATCCCTTACAGGCATGACAACCAGGTGTCACAGATGAGGAAACTGAGGCCCAGAAAGAAGAGACTTACAAGGGTTAGAATGCTATTAAGTGGCCCAACAGGGATTTAATTCCTGTTCAGCCTGCCAGCAAGTCCCAGGCTTCTATCAGTGGGCTTGCATTGCTAGCTGACCCTTCGAACGTACCCTTCTCTTCTCCCAAGAAGTCCCTAGCACCAGGCTGTCCTTCTCCCAGTGGCAGGAAGGTGACAGGGTGGTAAGATGGTGATCATTGCAGATGATGTTTGGGTAAGTTCCCAGAAGTTGGATGGTGAGTCCACTGGTGGAACTAGGGTGACTGTTAGCCATGGGCAGGCAGGCACCACAGAGCTCCCGTCCACCACTGGACCAAGGGGCTGAGCAGAGGGCTGGCACCCTTCCTTCCCAGCTGCAGGAATCAAGTGTCAGCCCTGTGGGTCCTGAGAGGCCAGGAGAGATTGCAGCTCAACCTCAGCTCCCTCCAGAGCCACTTTCCTTGACCACAGACGTACCAGCCACCCCCACACTACCCAGCCTGCCCTCCCATGCTTCCCCAGGCCACAGCTGTACCCAAAAATCGGGGGCTGAGCTCGAGGCTCAAGGACAGGGGAGAGGACGCTGGCTCAGAGCCAGGGCAGAGCCGGGATGCAGGCTGCAGGGAGAGCAGCCGGTAGGCGGGGCACAGCTGGGGGAACTGCTGAGCACGGTCAGGGCCGCGGATGGAGCGCAGTGGGCCAGAGAGCAGTGGCGGGCTGCCTTTCAAGTACTTTAAAATCACTTACAAAGGCCGGATTAAATGATCAGAAATTCCATTTAATAGGACAAATAAAGAAATAACAATCTACTCTATCAGCCTGGAGAAGGCGAGCTGGATGGGTTTTCTTTTTTTTTTTTTCCTTCTAAAAAGGAAAAAGGGAAGGAAGGGGGAAAAAAGAAGGATAATGTGTGTTTACTCAAGCAAAGAAAAAAATATTTAAGTGATGTCGGGGAGAAGATTGCGGTAACTAGTGAAGAATAACACCGTCTACTTTGCTGTCAAATCACACCCGAATTTCAGTAATAGATTCTCGGCTGACACTCAATTCAATTCGAAGGTGATCCTGCTTTATCCCAGCCCATCAAATATTAAACACTTGCATTAGCAGGTGCTGCCGCTTCCCGGCTTAAAGCGGCGGGCGGGTGGCAGGGCTGTGGAGGCCCCTCTGCTCCGCGTGCGGCTCGGGGACAGGGCAGCTTGGCGTTATCTGCGCGTCATCCTGAGCCTTATCGCCACTAAGCGGGAAGACCACTTCAGATAACATTAGGCGCCTGCCCCAACGCGTCACCATGATTAGATTATTATTATAATTATGACTCCCCAAGATCTTGTGCAGACTGGAAAGTGAGGGAGCAGCAGAGCCCAGGAGGGCCTGGCTGGTCCAGGGCAAGCTGGGGCCCACAGGGGGGAAGCAGGGGTACCAGGAAAGGCGGCAGCCTGGGCCTGCCTGACGAATGCCTTTCAGGAAGGGCAGTCTAGCTTGTCAGAGCCAGGGCGAGATGAATTGGCGTCTCTGCTGCGGCCGCCAGTGTCATGCCACACGGTTTCCTATTCCCAGATAAGGCGTGATAACCAATTGCTGCCGTGACATGGCCTCAGCCAGCACTTCCTCAGGGGGCACGGGTGGGGGGCCAGGGAAGGCGCGTGCACATGGGTCTGCCAAGCTCCTAATAAGAGGGATTTAATTTTTACAAATGCTGCTTCCAGCGGGGCCTTCACGTACCAGCCAAAGTCCAAAATGATATTAAAAACGGTTAATTAAAACTGCTCTCCTTCAGCCTGGGCTCCCCCCATGCTAGAGAACCCTGGCAGGCCTCCTCCAGGTACTGCCGCACGCCTCTGCAGAGCCGACCTTCGGACGCGACCGCCTGCCTCGCGGAACTCCCCCGAGGCACAGTCCCAGGCACAGCGCCACGGCTGCCCCAGCTCCTACTATCCCAGGCACCCCTCGGCACAGCCGGCAGACAGCAGAGAACACAGGGCTCTTCCACCACCTGAGCTCCTAGCTGCGTGTTCCAGATCTTGCTCCTGTTGCCCCTCTGGGCCTGTGCCTCCAGGCTCCACCTCCCCACTCCCCCCACCAGCACTCACTGCTGAAGTCCCTACCCCTCCCCAGATACACACACCCACACAGGCACCAAATTCTCCCTCGGGTGACTCAGCCCAGGCTTCCATTCCCTACGCCCCTCCTGGCGCCCTCCCTCAGAGATTACATGCATCTGTGAATCTTAGCAGAGCCTTCCCAGGAGCCCAGCTCAGGGCAAGGTGATGTGGGCTGTGTCTCAGAGGTTCTGGCTGAGGGGTCAAGGCTGGGACCAGAAGGATTGGGGACGCTGAACCCTGTGGGTTGCCCACAAGGACACCGGGGACAGACAGGACCATGCTGGAGATGACTAGGAGAGCTTCCTGAAGGGAGAGGTCCTGGAGGCACCAGAAAGAAGACACAGCAAGGACAAAGGAAAATGACAGAAGCAAGCTGGATGGCAACAGGCAAGGGCTGGGCTGGGGTGAACAACATGGAGACATCTTGAGGTGCTGTCTCTCAGCCCCGTGCAATGCTGGCATCAGCCAAGGGGCCTGAGTACCATCTACCCCCGACCCCTTACTCATGCCTGCTTCCTATCCCCACTCCCTCTCTCTCTTCTGCCAATCTGTGGGGCAAGGGGTAAGGGACCCAGAAGCTTTCTGACCCTGATCAGTGCTGGGCAGAAATTTGAAAGCCAGAGCCTGTGCCCGAGCCCCTGTCCCGTGCTAGTTCCCAATACTCTGGATGCCACTTCTCCAGCTGCACCTCTCCTAGCTAGTAGAGCCCACCTGCCCAGCTGAGGGTTCCTGGCCAGAGGGTGGGGCAGGAGGAAGGATGACTGAGGGGTCCTCTCCAGGGCAGGCAGAGTCAGGGTGAAAGATGCTGGGCCTCCCAAGCCACCCACCCTAGCCCTGTGCCAGGCAAGCATGCACACTTCCCTTCCCCTGGGCTGCTGTAATTTCCATGCGCAGGGAAGCAGGTGCCGAGCTGTTCCCGGCTGGCTCTCCCCTCTCGCGGCTCTGCCCGCCTTGGCTGCTGCCCCATTAGCTTAGTGGCCAGCCATCTGCGACGGGCCTGCCGCGCAGCCCTGCTGTAGGCGCGGCGGGTGGCCCCCTGTGTAACAGGGAGCTTTGCCATTAGCGCCTTTAATATTCTGACACCTCAGCACAGCCTGCTATTACATGCAAACGCTGATCGCCCTGTGAAATTACATTGCTGGGCCCGCGAAATGGAATCGTGTATAATCAGCCTCCTCCATGCACTGTCAGTCCCATCACAAACACGGCGCCCGGCGGCTTACGGGGGCTTAGCAGCTGCGACAAGTGTATTGGGTTTAATAGATGAAGTAGCCCTCATCAGCAGCAGCATCAGATCTTTCAAAGAGGAAAGAAGAGGCATTGACAGCTGCTAGGGTGTCTCTGCCCACTGGTTCGCCACCCACCAGGGCCCTGAGTCGGGTGGACACAGAGTGGGCAGGGCAGTGGCTGGGGCTGGAACCCAGCTCAGACCACAGAGAGAAGCACAAACTGCTCTGCAACTTGCCGAAAACCCAGAACTTGAAAGCTGGCAGTGGCACATCTGAGCCATCCGGCCTCCCCACGAGGTCACCCTGAGGGGCGGCCTATGGCAGAAGGGTCAGTTCCCAAGACGAGGAACCAAATCAAATAACCTGCATTTCCCATAAACACCCAACAGACAAAGACAGGGAAGTGATACTCTGGAGGATGCAGGAGAGGAAGTCTGACAGAACTACTACCTAACCTTTTCTTTAACCAGCCAACATGTTGACAGCTGGTGAGCCAAATACCAAAGCTACAGATATACATGAGGATGGCGTACCCAGCAGCCCAGGCCTCATGGAAAGGCAGTGTGTTCAGGAGTTGGTTCCCAATTCTGCCGGTTATTAGCAGTGTAACTTTGGGGATAACCTGGAGGGGTGAGATGGCGTGGAAGGTGGCAGGGAGGTTCAAGAGAGAGGGGACATGTGTACACCTATGGCTGATTCATGCT